TGCATCGCCGACTAAGACCTTGCCCAGGTCGCTTCCATTGTGGACAATAAGCCCACCTACAGGGGAAGGCAGAACCACGTCGTTGAAACTTGTGAGTCACTCGGCCTGACTGACAGCCGTGACCAGGGATGTTTTCTCCATCTAACATGGGTTGTGTTTCGCAAATTTGCAAACTTTCTCCGAAGTCAAAGGATGCCGAAAGAGTCAACAATTGTGAATCGAAAACGGCAACTGCGTGGATCAAGCCATTAAGTGGGTTCTGAGTAGTGAAGATACAGTTCAGCCTCGGTAAGTTGTGTGATGTTCACGGAGAGGTTGGGCAGTAAGCATTGCGGGGCTTCAGCATTGATGTCAGCGGGAAATCATGGGGATTGGTTTGACATAAGCCCAACGACGACATGAAACGGCCAGTGTGGCTGAGAGCGGAATACGAACACTGTAAATGGTGCTTTCGTATTTTAAACAGAATTCCCCTCGCTTAGTCGGTCGGTCAATCAGTCAGTCAGTCAGTAGAGGTATTCTTGCGGGATAAGTAAAAAGATCCATTCGCAGCTACTTTCCTATTTGTCTACCCTGTTGTGTTTTCCTTGCAGCAAGCCAACAACAATCAGCAAGACCACTCAAACCGAACCAAACCAAACCAAACCATCAAAGCATCATCCAACAATCACCTCACCTACGACAACTTGGAAAGAAACAGAAAAGCCATGGCGTCCACGGTTCCCTCCCCAGAACCTGCTTCTCCTCCTGCTGCTGCTGCTCCAAAACCATCCTCATCAAGATCACCCTGGACACCACCCCCCCTCTCATCCCACAACACAGCCCTCGCCATAATCCCCCCTCCCCATCTCTGGGCCCCGATCAATGCCCTTCGCTCCCTCTACGACAAAGCATACACTAAATGGCCACCGCACATCAACCTCGTCTACCCCTTTGTCGAGCCAGAAGATCTCGAAGATACAATGGAGTTGGCTCCGTGGGGGATTCTGGAGGGGAGGAAGAAGAGAAATGAGGCAAGGGGTATAAAGTGGGATGAGGGAGCGCAGGCATGGACGGGGCCTGATGGGAAGCAGTTAGGACGATGCCCAGAAGGAGGTGGGGGGCCGGTGTTTGAGGAGGATAAAGTGAGGGTGCGGTTGGATGGGGTGGGGGTTTTTGAGCACCGGAAGCATAATACGATATATCGGTGTAATGAAGAAGCCGCCGCCGGCTACAACCTCACAAGCACGTCGTCGTTTTCAAGACTGAGAGCGGAAATACTTGGGGAATTGGGACACCACCAGCAGGCTGAAGGCGAAGAAGGCAAAGAGCAGCAGTATAAACCGCACATGACAATTGCCCAATCTGAAGACAGCCGATCCTCAGCACACAAATTCCTGGTGGAAAAAGTGGGATTGCTGCCGACGGTGGAGTGGGAGGTTGAGCATGTTTGGGTGTTGGTTAGGGATCAGAGCGATGGTCCTGGGAAGGGGAAGATGAAGGTTTGGGGCACGATCAACTTGGAGGAGCAGGTGGGATGTTCGATATATGAGAATCCGGTTGATTGGGAGGAGGCTTTGAAAATGGATTTGGGGTGGGAGGGGAGGGAGAGGGATGTGGAGGAGATGCAGAGGACTTGGAGGTTTGATGAGGAGAGGGGGATTTGGGTGAGGGATGATGCTGGGAAGGAAGAGGAAGAAAGGGAGGAAGAGGCAAAGACGCCAGAATTGCTAAGCATAGCATCCTGGAACGTCCTCGCTGATTTCGAGCACTCCTCTTCTTCAACCACCGATCAAGAAGCTCGATACCGCCTCATCCTCCGCAACCTCCTATCTCCCAGCGCCAAAGCAGATATTCTTCTCCTTCAAGAAGTCACCGACTCTTTCCTTTCCTTCATTCTCTCTCCCTCCAACACATCTCCCGAATCCCAGGCCTTACGGCTCATCTACCCTTACGTCTCCCACCCCCCTCCCTCTCAACCCGATGCATCTCCCCTCCCCAACTTTCTCAACCAAGTCATCCTGTCTAGACACCCCTTCTCCTGGTCTTGGCTCCCTTTTGCTAGGAAGCACAAAGGCTCTGTCATTGCCCGGTTCCCTACCATCCACGGAAGCAATCCTGATCAGCCCCTTGTGCTGGCAGCGGTTCATTTGAGTCATGGACTGACGGACATGACTGTAGCTACCAAGAAGGGAGAGATCCAACGGGTGCTTGGGCATCTGAAGGAGAAGTTTCCGCAGAATCCGTGGGTGGTTGCCGGGGACTTCAATTTGACATCCTCAAGCTGGACTGTTGAGCAAGCTGTGAAAGCTGGGAAGATTTCCCGGGAAACAATGGCGACACTGAATAGTGTCGAAAGGATGTGGAAGGAGGAAGAGGGGCTAGGGGTGGAAGACGCTTGGGTGGTTGGGCGTGCTGCTTTGGGGGAGGGATGGGCTCAAGAAGAGGAGGACATCATGGACGACATCGACGAAGAAGGGGGGGATAATAGGCTGTTTTCCGGCGAGCAAGGAGCTACCTACGATCCGATAAGGAATGATGTCGCAGCCAAGGTGGTGGGTAGTGGAGGCAATATGCGGCCGCAGAGGTATGATCGGATTTTGGTCAGGGGTCAACAGGTGTTGAGGATCGGGAGATTTAATCGGTTTGGATTCCTCAAGAGTAATCAGGAGAAGGGAGAGGGGCATGAGATGGGGCAGTATGGGAGTGATCATTGGGGGGTGAGGTGTCTTTTAAAGGTTGTTCAGCAGGAAACCACCGAGCAGACTGAGAAGACGGCTGAGGAAAAGAGCGGTGCCACTGCGTTAGAAACGTCTATCAAGCTGGTTACACCACTCGATGGCCCTCTCTCCGAGCCAGGATCGCTGAAAGAGGCCATGGCCGAGCTCAACATCCTTCCTTCCCAGGAAGAGACAGACAAGCGCAAAGCAGCCTTCCAAGCCCTCAAGGCCATTCTCCTCGACACACCTCCCCCGAGTCAGTCTCCCCAGCCATCAACCACCGACCTTACTACCACCTCCGAGACCCAAACCCGATCCAACCAGCCGCCCCTGATCATAACCCCCGTCGGTTCCTTCGCTCTTGGAGTCCACACCTCCTCCTCCGACATCGACGTCCTAGCCATCGGTCCCTTCTCCACCACCACCTTCTTCTCCCTCGCCATCCAACGTCTCCGGCGCGCCGCTTCTTCCCCGCTCTACTCCCAGGAATACCAACCCAAAATCCTCCGCCGCATCTCTTCCTCAACCGGCACCATGCTCGAACTCTCCCTTTGCCAAATCAAATTCGACCTGCAATACTGTCCTGCGGCACACATTGCTTCCCACTGGCCTCGCATCTTATCTACAGCACCGCCTGGAAATGCCGTTTGGTCTTTGCCAGCGCTGACGCTGACGAAACTGAAAGCGGCCAGGGATCTGGATTATTTGCGGCGGACGGTGCCTGACTTGGCAGTGTTTAGGCAAGCCCATAGAGCTGTGAGGAGCTGGGCTAAAGGTAGGGGGGTGTATGCCCAGCGCTTTGGGTATTTGGGGGGGATACAGATCTCGGTCATGTTGGCGAGGGTGTATAAAGCTCTTGCGCTTGGGGCTGGGGGGGTTAGTGGTGTTGGGGTGGAGGAGTTGGTGGCGAGTTTCTTTGAGGAGTATGCTCAGTTTGACTGGGAGAAGGATATGGTTTATGATGAGGTTTGTCCTTGGTTCAGGCAGAAGCGGGAAAAAGGAGGGGAGAAGGAGGTGTATAGACGGACGGGGAGGGAGGCGATGGTTGTGCTTGGGTGGTTTGGACCGGGACTAAACACTAGCGGGCAGGCGAGTGTTTGGAGTGTTAGGACGCTGAAGGAGGAGTTTAAGCGGGCGAGGGACTTGTTGGTGAAGGGAGAAGTGAAGAGCTGGAAGGAGTTTTTGAAGGGAAGTGGTGCGGAGGAGTTCTTGGCGGAGTACAAGAGCTACGTCAAGGTTGATGTGCAGTATTGGGGACTGTCGTCGTCGAAGGGAGCGCAGTTTGTGGGCTGGTTGGAGAGTCGGTGCGTGATGCTCCTTGTTGATCTTCACAGGAGGGCACCAGGGGTGTATGTCAGGATGTGGCCTGGACGCTTTGTCGAGGCCGACGCTGCCTCTCAACAAGCCGAAAATGATGAGCCGACAGCCACCGAAGGAACCGGACCCCGCGACTACCAAGCCTCCTACCTCCTGGGCCTCGACGCCGATACCACTACCAGCAAAGAAGACCTCAAACTCGCTCTCGGCGCCATCCAAACCGCGCTTCAACGTTTTGAGGAAGCCATCCGGTCAGACGAGAAGTACTTTGACGCCTCGAGCAGCTGGATGAGCGCCAGCATAGTGAAACGCTCCGAACTGGGCAACCTCCAACTCGACACTCGCAACGACTGGGTAGGCGAGTACACTCCTGGCGAAGACGAATCAGACTCTGACCCTGAGGACGACGACGAGGAAGACGCTTCAGTGCTTGAGGACCTCGACGAGACCGCTCCAAAGAAGAAAAAGGGCAAGAACAAGAAGCCGATAGAGGAGACGCAGCAGCCAAGACTGGAACCAGGCCCGAAGCTTCGCTCGGCAGGGGACGTGATGAACAGACTACGCTGGGACTCGGCCATCGACAGTTCTGACTACGTGGTTGGTTACGAGGATCGGTTCCTGGGAGTGAAAGAGAGAGCACTGGATATGTGGAAGACGGAGCAGACGGATGAGGAATTCATCCCGCAGCATCGCATTGTGTATTTCAAGAGGAGGAGTGATGGACAAGTGGTGTGGGATCGGAAGACGAAGAAGGATGAAGTTTTTGGGAGTGGGTTGTAGATGGATGTATTCGAAGATGTAGTGTTGTAGATTTCCAACCTGCAGTATCATTTGTGTTTCAAGAGAAGTCCGGTGAACATACATGACATGCTAGCCAACCCGGATTCTGAGTGGCCATCTTGGGACTATCTTCCTTCGTCTGCCCCCAGTCTTCCTCAAAGTTGCCAAACTTCACGCACCGCATAAATGACACTTCACTGGTTGTTACCTCCCACGCTCCTTGGAATCTTCTAGATGCCTCTGCCACTCAACCTCCCACTCAGCTCCTCCAAATCCCTCCTCAATCTTGTCTCTCCAAGCGCCCACTTCCACCCCCCTCGTCCCCAATAGCTCATCAACCCCCGTATGCCTCCCCGTAGCCACCGGCTCCTGCGGTATTTCCCCCTTAACCAGGACTAAGTCCTCTGGTGGCTCTCGTCCCAACAGCTGCCACATCCTCTTCTCTTCCTTGTAACTAGCCCGCACGTCCAGCGCGTCAGCGTACGCCTCCTGAGCGCGCTGTGTGCGGATACGAGCGTAGAGGACTTGTCTAGCACGAGAAGTGATGGCCATGGGAAGAGCCGAGTAGCGGAGTAGTTCTTTGGCTTCGGATTTGATGGCTTCGTCTTCGACAAGGTCCAGTTGATGATGTTCGGATGGGGCAGGGCTTGATGGAGCAATTTGATGTGGTTCAGTCTGGGTGGGCTCCTCGGTATTCTGTTCGAGATTGTCGAGCTCGTCGAGGGAGGGCGTGGAAGAAAGGGAGGCTAGAGACTCGACATCGCTTCGTTCATCCTCGTCAAATTCGTCCGCGTCGTCGGGTTCTGGGCGGTTGGTATCAGGTTCGAGGCCTAGGGCTTCTTCTACTTCGGCGTAGGACATTGGCTCTGGTTCGTCTCGTATCATTTCAACGTCCACATCTATCCCTTCTTCCTCTTTTCGCGCCAGTTCCTCCTTGTAGTCATAGTCTTCGTCCCCGTAGACATCCAGTCTTAACCGTCTTGCTGCTTTAGCCCAGAATTGATGGCTATTCTTCTTTAACCCTAGGGAAAGGACTGCCGCTTCGACGTCCTGTATCCAGACATGGTTTCGTGTTAACGGGTGAACGGCCCGTTTGGCTTTGATGCGTGATTCGCTGATGTAAATAACTGCCGCAACGAGCCTTCGCGTTAGCGAGACTACCAGCGAATGTAAATCCTCGAGGGCAGTGGCTCGAATGGCAGGTGGCTCGTGGGACATGCTGCTCCAGTTGTAGTCGTCGACGGTAGAATTCATGAAGACGTTCTCGGAAAGGTCGAGCATTGTTCGGACTCGGAACAGATCAAGAGCGGGCAATTTCCTTTGGCCAAATTCATCGACGTCCTCCTCGGTTTTTACTACCGTCTCATAATCACCATCTTGATTCACATCCTTGCCTTTTCCCTTCCCTTCTCTCTGCTTCCTTTCCGTCTCCTTCTCCCTCTCCTCTCTTGCCTCCATCTCCAACCCCTTTACGTTATCCTTCCTGATCAACCACCTGTTCTCCCCCCACTTCCGCATCTCTTCCGCCTCCTCCCACGACTCTTGCCTACTAGCAACCGCATCTGCCGCCTCCTCGAGGGCATTACAGCACTGCTGACTTAGTTCCACAGCCGCCGGAACCTCGGCCGGCGTCACGGGCTGCAGCAATTGCGCCGGGGTTGCGAGTTTGGGGTCCTGCCTGGTCTTGATGGTCTGCCGAAAGACTTCCAGATACTCGGCAACTTCGAGCTCGCTTTTGGTGCGGATTCGTGAAGCGATGGCGGAAGCGGAGTCCGGGCCGAGGCGGGAGACTGCGGAAAAGAAGAGCTCCTTTTCAGCGGGGGTCCAGACGGTTAGACCGATCTGGGAAGGAGCTAGTTGCTGGGTGGTTTCGTCGCCGGTAGGAACGAAGCGCGAAGCGGCGTCAATGATGTCGGCGTTCAGGAGGGCGAGGTAGGAGTAGTTGAAGGGGGTTTTGTGCCGTTTTGAGGGCCGTTCTGTATGGAGGGCTAGGCCGTCTGATGAACGTTTTGGAGGGCGCGGGGTGAGGATGGATTTTGATCGCGAGCGTGACCTTCCCCTCTTTGTCTTTTCTCGGTCGACGTCTTCCTCGGAAGGCGGTTCATATTCGCTGCCTGCCGATTCTACCTGGTGTCGGCGGCGGGGGATGCCGTCTAGCTGGGCATAGTCGAATTCAGCATCGTCGATGGCGCTTCCGTAATGCGACTCGGCGTCATTTCTGTCGTTATCAAGGTCGCTTTGAGGTTCGATTTTTACACGGTGATGATCTGCGTCAGACTCTGGCTGTAGACTTCGACTTTGGCTTCGGACTGAGCGTCGTGGTCGTTGATGGTGGGGGGAGCCATTGCCGGCGGCATGGTGGCCACTGAGTCCAGAGTCTGAATCCATCTGACTGCTTTTTGTTTGCCTCGATTGGATGAGGAAAATGGAGAAGCTCGGAAGGATTAAGGACAAGATAATATCATGGCAATCATGGACAAGGTTGCGACTTCCCAAGCTGGCTTGTCATTGTGTGTAAAATGGAAGTTGCGATGGAGTTGAAGGAGACGAAGAGGAAGTGAGGAAATCCATGCACTTGCATGTGGGGAACGAACAGATGCCTGGAATACCTAGTAGAATTTGAACTCGTACCAAAAAGTCACTTTGATGGAAAGGAACGACATTTGTCTCATCAGATTTTGTTGATAGCTCAAGTAAGTATTACTCCATACTCAGTGAGGTTTCTAGACAGCCAGCTCTGATGATTCATTGATGGTCCTGTGAAAGTGGTTTTCAATGTTGCGAATATTCTGTAGTGACTGCAGATCAGGTACCTTTTTGGTGCCCCACTTTAACTTCTGCCCCTACAACCAATCACATCGACCAAGGTACGTCTTGATCGTTTTGACAGGCACAGTCTCTTTAACACCATGACCCACCCATTTGATGAAAGTTCAAGTCAGCAATGGACGACGATGCTAACAAGACCCTTTGAATTGGACAAGATGATTGATCCGAAATAAGATGGAGGAAGGAAGACTGGTTGAGGGCATATCCGGGGTCAACAATAGGTAATCAACAGTATATTGTTCCGTGTATAAAGAATACAAAGTCCTCGGGACATGGGCAGCAGCGAAACAATGGCTATGATTGGTGAACAATGATCTCGGCAGAGGTTGCTAAACACACAGCCTTCAACGACCATCACATGCGCCTGCCTTGGACAACAACATCTCACTGAAACATCAACCTCCGGAGTCCGGCGAACATTGTGGAATCTTCATGTTTTCAATTGCCCTTGTTCACTCAGTCGCTCCTTATCATATATCATTACGATAAAACTCCCTCATCCGTCATTTCGAGTCGGGTGTCATGGGCTTTGTCTGTTGGTGAGCGAACAAAGAGGACGGACGAGTGGCAGTCAAAGAGAGACATCCTCACTGCGAGTAAACAAAGTAAATTCGGAGCAATGAGTGTCGCCATGAGAAGGCTCGTAACAGCCACAAGGACATTGAGCCTTACGACACCACGTAGCTCAATGTGGAGAGAAACATTGGGCATCCCTTCATCACGATCAAATTGCCACCCACGATTTTTCACAAGCTCAGTCCGTCTGGCAAATGCCCTGTCACAACAAATCCAACTTCGTGATTATCAGGAAGAATGCATCCAGTCCGTCCTGGCAGCAATCAACCAGGGTCACAAACGGCTGGGAGTCTCATTAGCTACCGGTGCTGGTAAAACCGTGAGCCACCCCCTTTTCATAACTACCACGAATAACCACTTGCTAAACTCTTATCAAGGTCATCTTCACCCACCTCATTGACCGCATCGAGCCTCGTTCGGACAATGCTACCCAAACCCTCATCATCGCCCACCGTCGGGAACTAGTCGAGCAAGCCGCCCGTCACTGCGCCAACACCTACCCGCACAAGACGGTCGAAGTCGAGATGGGCAACGTCAAAGCCTCCGGCATCGCCGACATTACTGTCGCCAGTCTGCAGTCCATCATCTCCGGCGATCGCTTGCTCAAGTTCGACCCATCGCGCTTCAAGCTCGTCCTCGTTGACGAAGCCCACCACATTGTCGCCCCCGGCTACCTGCGCACCCTCGAGCACTTTGGTCTCCGACAAAAGCAGATCGACTCGCCCCATCTGGTCGGCGTCTCGGCCACTTTCTCGAGAGCAGACGGTCTCAGGTTGGGAGCAGCTATCGATGAAATTGTCTACCACAAGGACTACGTCGACATGATCGGCGACAAATGGTTGTCCGACGTCATTTTCACCACCGTCGACTCATCGGTAGACCTGAGCAATGTCAAGAAGGGCGCCGGAGGAGACTTTGACATAGCACAGCTTTCTCGCGCCGTCAATCTCGAAGAGACCAATGACATCGCCGTGCGTACTTGGTACGCCAAGGCAGGTAACCGCAAGTCCACACTGGTGTTTTGCGTCGACCTCGCCCACGTAGCGGACATGACGGCCACATTCCGACGGTACGGCTACGACGCGCGGTTCGTGACGGGTGACACGCCCGCCAAGGAGCGGGCCGACATTTTGGACGCGTTTAAAAGGTTCGAATTCCCTGTGCTGGTGAACTGTGGGGTGTTCACGGAGGGGACGGATATCCCAAATATCGACTGTATCTTAATGGCGAGGCCGACAAAGTCAAGGAACCTGCTGATTCAGATGATTGGACGCGGCATGAGGTTGTACCCCGGCAAGGAAAATTGTCATATTATTGATATGGTGTCAAGCTTGGCGACGGGAATCGTCACAACACCAACGCTGTTTGGGCTCGATCCGGATCTGTTGGTGGAGGAAGCGTCGGTGGAGGATATGAAGGAACAAGGAGAGCGAAGGGCAGAAGAGGAGGCAAGGAAGGAGATTGTCTATGACTCGACTGAGCGCACGAATCCGGCGCCGCAGGGTGAATGGGCTGTTACCTTCACCGAGTACGAGTCGGTCTTTGACTTGATTGCCGACTCGTCGGGCGAGAGACACATCCGCTCGATCAGCCAGTACTCGTGGGTGATGATCGGGCAGGACAAGTATGTTATCAGTGGCCCTGACGGCTCCTACGTCAAGCTGGAGAAGGTTGCGCCCGAGGAAGAAGAGCAAGGGGCACCACCATGGGTTGCCTACGAAGTGCGCACGCTGCCTGTGTCTACGCCATCCAAGTCTCCCTACGCGTCGCCACGCGAGATCCTAAAGGCTGAAACATTTGCCGACGCCGTTCACGGTGCCGACAGCTTTCTTGCGTCATCAGCTGGTCAAGGCAAGTACCCTCGCAACTTTATCCACAGAGGTATGAAGTGGCGCGATGATCCGGCAACCGACGGCCAGATTAAGTTTATCAACAGGACGATTCGTCGCGGGCAGGAGCCGGTCGAGCCCACGGATGTCACGAGAGGTGCGGCGTCGGATATGATCACCAAGTTTAAGCATGGGGCGCGTGGCAGGTTTGCGGACTTGTCGGCGGTCAAGAAGCGGAAAAAGAAGCAGATCCTGTTGCTTGAGAAGGACAAACGACTGCGCGAGACGGTGTCAGTTGGGTCTGTTGCGGCTATGGCACTCTAGGAATTCTTTTCATTTTGTTCTATCAAAGCATGCCTCTATCAATCATCTCGAGTTCTTTTCATCTGCCGCTTTGCTCTCGGTCTTTGCTGTCGTCATTGTAACCGTTGCCAATACTATCGTCGTCGATAGACCAAATTCACGACTCCCCAGCCTCGAATCAGGTGCGGTGTGCGTGTGCCCTGTTGTGTTTTGCCTCACTAAGGTTCAAAGTCGAAGGGTCGTCAAGGCTGGGTAGCCATGGTTGTGCCGCCTTGTAAAGCGTCCAGCCTCGAGGACGAGGCTCGCGTACCTTCACCTGCTCGTTGAATATCGGACGACCTGAATCCGTTACGTCACCCCTTTTGTTGAGACCGTCCACTGTCGCTACCGCCGGCCACCCCTTAGCCTTGTTGAGGACGGCGAGGGCACCGAAACGAGTACGTACTGAACAACAGACGGCACTAGTTGGACTGTGCTCTCTGTTCTTGCTGCCACCGCACTTGATCTGGCAACGGCATCACTGTTCTTGACTGTTCGTGGGGCTGTTCATGGAACACCACCAGTTTTCCAAACCTGCTCCTCTGTTTGACCGTTACAGCGCAAGTGTTTACTTTCTATCTGCCTTAAACCACACTTCCCTCGTTGGCGACAACCAACCTGGAGTACGACAGTGGAGGGTGACCGTCGACGATAGGAGGGTATAAGATCTTTTTTTCAACCTCTCTTTAGCCAGAACTCACCCTTACCACTACCAACCAACAGCACAATCCGCAACTCCTACTATTGCCGCTCCGCACAGCATTCCACTTTGCAAGAACAGCACCTCTTCAACTCACACAATACCCCTCCATCTACGAACATCTCCGTCACCGCGAATCAACTCTCCAACTCGAACTGCGCGCTTCAGTCGATAGAATACTACGAACCGTCGTTGTCTTCTGACCTGACGACTTGCACAAGGTAAGCTCCTCAACTATCAACTACTGGTACGCTCGTCGACTGGCACTAATTCATCGATCATCAGTTTACGGTCATATCGGTTTCCCTTCATCTCTTGACGATCGTAACAGACGTCGACATCCACTCTTTGGCGATCAACCCTTGACGACCATCATCGTGTCGACTATCACTTCATCTTCACCATAGGTAAGTCTCAACAATAGGACACTACACTATCGCACTTGTTTAACTCTTTCTACAGTTGATGAACACGACGCTTATCCACTATTCGATTATCTCGATCTTCACTGTCAGACCTCATCGACTGTTACGTCTTTCTTTATCAGAAAAGGTACGCGTCAACAACGAAGCCGCATCATTTTCTTCAGCAGTCGCACGCAGCGACAATATGGTTATTCCGAGAAGACCCCGCGCTACGCGGGACACCATCTCACTCCCCAACCCCGTTGTGGGCCGACTCATGACGGCCCCAAGACCTACCCTAGCTACAAGTATAGTCACTGCTTATAGCCTCAAGAACATGTCCCGCTCTCCTCGCCCTTCTTGCCCGGGCCAGCAAACCCCAGGCTCGCTCACGGCCAGTAGCCGTCCCTCGGGTGCTCACAATATCCCCCTTCTGTCGTCCAGGCCTCAAGATGTCCCCCTTCCAGCCTCATCTTCAACCTTGGCTAGTGCCAGCTATGCCACAAGTTATGCCGGCACCGACTCTTTTATGTCAGGGGCGACCATTTTGGCCCAAGCGGCCATTCTACCTGGCAACAACACGACGAAGGAAGAGGACGATTCCTCCACCGCGGTAGTTGATCGCAAGAATGATCCCAGATTCCGATCGCCCGAGGCCTACCTTGGTCTCCCCCTCGGCGAGATAGTTGAAGGACCGGAATACTTCTTGCACCCCTGGCACAAAGTCATGAAGGAATCGACTGACTTCCCGTTCTTTATGTTCAACGCCATCAGATACCCAGCAAAGTCTCTGAACAAAGCGGCAGCAGAAGTCTTTCCCTGGGAGCACGTCGAGACGATCAGGGATCCTTGGCTCAACGACGGCAAGCTTATGCGATACGACGACTCTGTCGGCCATTGTGTTGAACAGCCTTGTGACGACGTCTCCAAACTCGACAAAGGCAAGCTTTTCGGCTTTACTCACGAGCTCGACGGTTGGCTCGACTTTCTACACGAGGACACTAAGCGTTACGTCAAGTCCATCAAGGACATCCAGGCTCAGGTGAATGCTCTTCAAGCAAGGGTCAAAGAGATTCACTTGGCGAATGATAAAATCTACGAGGAACTCTCGAGCCTCAGACACAAGCTCAAGCGCGTACGCGGCCTCAACGTCCTAGTCGGCACCCAGAGATTCCTCGCTCAGGCTCGCGAGAATGAACTCAAAATGCAACAGGAGGAGAACAACAACAAGCGCCACGAGCTACTGTTCGAGATCGCGAAGCAGTTTTACGAGTACGAAATACTCGTCCGCAAGGCCCTCTACCTGGACAGCATCCACGTCTCGGATCTCCATCGCGCCGACGCCAAGCGCCAAGCCGACGACAAGGCAAACCAGGAAGAGCAGGAGCGCCTCATGAGTTTCATCAAACTCCAGAGCCAGAAGTACGTGGAGGAAGAGGCCAAGCGCCAGCACAAGCAAGCCAAAGCCCGCGCCACCAGTGCCAAGAAAGACAAAGCCAAGGGAAAAGGCAAAGGCAAAGCAACCGCCGCCGCCGACTTTGACCGCGAGGACGACGACAACAACGAAGATGACATCCTCCTCGCGGATCTCAAGCTCTCCGAGCCGCAAACCCTCTTCGCCGCCGGCCAGATGCTCGACCCCATGTGCGCCGCCCCTCACGACAACTCCCGGAAGGTCCCCGCGTGGTTCCCAATCTTCGACGCTCAACAAATCGTCCCGCTCCGTTCCTCCAAGCCGCACGAGAGATTTGACGAGTTGATGGTCAAGTTTGCTGAGCTCCACCAAAAGGCCAAGGAGGAAAAGGAGGAGGAGGGGGCTCCTACCAAGAAGCCGCTGCCCAAGATCATCCCCGAGTTTCATGACCCGCATCCGGAGTGGCCTACCTCGTGGAGGCGCGAGCACGGCGGGTGGTGGCTCTGCGATATCTCGGAAAAGGCCACGGCTCCCGAGAAGGCTTGCAAGCTCTGCCAAGCCGCCAGGCGCCAGGCGATCAGGGAGGAGAGGGAGAACATGGCCCGGGGTATCTACCCCGAGGATGATGAAGATGAGGAGGGTAATGTCAGGACTGCCAAGGAGCAGTATGATGAGATCAAGGAGGCGATGGATCTGGCAATGGCGCAGGCCCATGTGAAGGAGGTGGAGTGGTTGAGGGGGGAGGTTAAGAGTCTGGATGAGGAGGCGAAGAGGGTTAGGAAGTGGAAGGAGATGAGCTTTGAGGAGAAGAGGAAGCTTGGGTTCCATTGAGTGTTTGCTTTGGCTTGGTATGATACCCAGGGAAATTATTATGCATTCATGGATGACTTTCGGACAGGACATTAGGGATTGAGTTTTCTAAAAAAGACCTCTTGCCACTTAGCATAGGCATTTGGGGCATTTGAAAGGGCATGGGAAGGAATGGGAAAGACATGTTTCAATGGACAGTTGGGAAGCGGATTTTACCTCTAGGTAACCAAAGCTCAATGATTGTGGTTATATCGCGGATTGATAGGGCTGAGTGGTTAGTGAAATCTGAACTAAGCCCACACTGAATATTTCTTGTTCGACTAAGAAGTGGATTGATGTGAAATATGCTGTAATATTTGTTGCCTCGCAGGATTGGGAGTTGCTGACTTGAATTATAAGTTCATGATACCTATCCATCTTCAATGTGATTAGAAAAAGCGTAGAATGTCATGTTAACCATGCCTCGTCGTTGAGTGATCCCGTGACGTTGATGACTATTGTGGTGATGTGATTGTTGATGTCAATTCAGGGGCTCCGAATCGATAGACTCACACCGCCGTGAATGATCTGCAGATAATTGTTAGTGCATGGCCCTAGACGCAACGCGTCCATCGGGTTTCAGCGAATTGGATGGGCGCAGCCACGGGGTTCCATCCGCTACTAGCAAGGTTGGTCGCCCACCGCCCTAAGCGTTGGTCGACTATTCGGGTTCCAATGATGAAAGTCATTCCAGTTCCTCTTCCCATTTGGACACTTCCGATCTGTCTTTCTTCACCACCTGGTGCCTGCCAAACCAACTGCAATACCGGGAAACGAACAAACAGCGACTCCCGTCCCGACCTCAAACAAAGGGCCCAGTGTCGAGTAATTGCGAAGCGTAACCGGCAAGCATCGCTTGATACAATCGGATCGAGCGGGCAATCCCCAATCAACAAACGAGATTCGAGACCTACATCAGGACGGCTCAGCTACGCGGCGGATTTAGCGATCATCCCTCCGAGACAGCACCAACAACACCAGTTCGATATATCATCACCATCATTACGGCTACTATACACATCCCGAGCGGGCGACACTTTGTAATCCATTTACATTGTATTAATTCTCGACCAGCATCTTACCTGCTTCCTCTTCTGTTTACCTGTCACTCGTCCTGTTGTTCCACCCTCCCCGCCTTCGGATCTCGAGAAAGCTTGCCGCATTCCCGACCTTCCTCTTTCGCTCTCGACCGAGCCGAGTCATCGACGATTACGACATCGACCTTGGAGGCCACAATGTTTACGGTATAAACGAAAACCTCTTTGACACCTACAACACTCGCTTGGCACCCGTTACCAACATCGCGCGATCCCAAGTCCACCACACCGGTGACTAGCAGCTCGCCAAGCAAACAGCCGAGCTATTATACACACACAGACATAATTTCCAGAATCCGTCCATCACAATGCCACGCACACGGCCCGCCACGACGGGCTATGAGCGCCTCGCCCAAGCCGACCAGTTCAGCGACGACTCGGACACAGACCCCCTCGACTACAGCGTAGCCTCGCTCCAGCCCGCCTCCGCACCCCGCTATGCAGCCATCACGCAGCCGCGCCCGCACTCGGGCATGACCAGCCCCAAGATGCCCGGCTCCTCGTCCCGGCCCCCAGGCGGAAGGAAGGGCAACCGGGGACCACGACAACGTAGCAACTCGGGCGTGGACCTCAAAGCCATCAACGCGCGTCTGGAGCGCTGGGCCGATGAGATCGCCAGCAAGTTTAAGCGCGGCAAGAAGAAGGGCGGGGAGGAAGATGAGCAGCTCGAGATCCATCACACCGTGTTCCAAGCGCCCGAGGGCGTGAGGCCCGTCACCGCGGAGATGCTGGCCAGGCCGGAGCCGGGGTACATGACCAAGGCCGAGTTCGAGGCGATTGTAGACAGTGTCAGGACGGCGATTGAGCAGGGGGTGCATCCGAGGATGATCTCCCAGGGCAGTTCGGGGAGTTACTTTGCAAGAAATACCGAGGGCAAGGTGGTGGGTGTGTTTAAACCCAAGGACGAGGAACCATATGCGGCGGGTAATCCCAAGTGGAACAAGTGGATTCATCGCAATCTGTTTCCTTGTTGTTTTGGCAGGGCTTGGTATGTACTCCTGTCTGTCGTCTGCAGAATGGCAATGGCCTTTTACTGACATGTTGTCTCTGTTGCAGCTTGATTCCCAACCTTTCCTACGTCAGCGAAGCCGCCGCCTACGTCCTCGACGCCCAGCTCCGCACGCACATGGTCCCCTATACCGACGTCGTCTACCTCTCCTCCAAATCCTTCCACTACCCATTTTGGGACCGTTATACCTACTCCCGGAGCAAGAAATCACTACCTGCCAAACCAGGCAGCTTTCAGGTCTTCCTTAAGGGATTCAAAGACGCCAACCTCTTCCTTCGAGAACACCCGTGGCCAGACCAGTACCTCTCCGGGTTCCGGACCAGTGATCCGCAACGGAAGAAAAAGAAGCGTTGGGTGGACAGCTGTCGCCCCGGCAGCTCGCCGGCGGGCGAGGGCGACAGTGATGACGAGAACAGCAGTCCAATCTCCCTCACACCGGGACCAGACAATTTTGTCTGGACGCCCACCCTGAAGCAGGCTTTCAGGGAGGAGCTGGAGAAGCTGGTTATTTTGGACTACATTATGCGGAATACGGACAGAGGGTTGGACAATTGGATGATCAAGGTAGATTGGGAAACCCAGGAGGTGTCGATAGTGTCGGAGCCGGTGCATCTTAACACGAATACCGAAGAGAGGGAAGAGGACGATGATGCGGCGGAACAAGGTCCTAGACCGGTGGACCTGAGTCAAAGGGGACCTCCTAAGACGAGGGCCTCGTATCCTTATAGGACGCAGAAGCCGATGGATGCCTCAACGTCGACGGGGGCGGCAATTAAGGACCCGAAGATCACGATTGGCGCTATCGATAACTCTTTGTCATGGCCGTGGAAACATCCGGATGCTTGGAGAAGGTATGCTTGCTCTATCTCTCTGCCCACTGACTGACTGTTGCTAACAATGGCTCCAGCTTCCCTTTCGGATGGCTGTTCCTACCAGTCGATCTCATCGGCCGACCGTTCTCCCAGAAGACACGGGACCACTTCCTCCCTCTACTAACATCCACCGCCTGGTGGAGTCAAACACAACTTGCCCTTCGACGAGTCTTCCAGCTCGACCCCGACTTTCAAGAGCGCATGTTTGCCAAGCAGATTGCTGTCATGAAGGGTCAAGCCTGGAACGTGGTCGAAACGCTGAAAACGCCCGACCACGGTCCCCTAGAACTGACCCGCCGCGCCAAGGTTTGCGTCTGGGACGACCTCGTCGACGTGCCCGTAGCCGTCCCCATGAGGGCTCCCAGCGCCGAAATGCGTCGCCAGGCCGCCGCCACTGTCGCCGCTGACCGTGAACAACACCAAGGACAAACCGATTACTTCACGACCGGCAACAGGCACAAGACCACCATCGACGAAGAAGAAATGGACATTGGCTTCGCGGGCAACTCATCCAAGCCCGCGGTCGCTGATCTCCTCGGTCTCGGCTCCAGCAACAACACGGACCTTCCTCACCCCGGCCGCTTCGAGATCGCTAGTCCTGCAGCTATATACGACGACTACCCCCAATCCCTACCAGAAGGCCAAATCTCCCCTCCCAACGGGACCACGCCAACAATCGACCACCCCCTTGCCTCCCCTCCTGCTCGACGCAGCGAGTCCGACAACCCCACAGCCACCCGAAAGCACTACCCCGTCTCTCTCCGCCCCCCCGCAGCGAACGGTCTAAACATGTACAACCCCGAACGCGACGGTTCGGCCGGCCCCGGCGCTACCGGCCAAGCAGGCTATCACGAGCGCCGCTTTAGCTTCGCTACGCCCGCGAGCCGAAAGGTCGGGAACACCATTGCTAGTCAGATGTATAGTACCAGTTACTCTCACAACGCGCATGCGAGGGAGTGGAGTCTCGAAGGAGCAGGGGAAGGCATGTTTGGTGGCTATGTGAATGCCGATGGGGATATGGACGAGTTGGATGATGCCGGAGGAGATTTGGGGTATGCGGCGGCGGAAGGGATGGAGGGGAACCAGAGAAAGGTGATTGTGGAGAGGCTGGAGGCTGTGAAGAGCAGGAATCCGGTTTTTACTTGGTGTTAGACCGTTGGTGATGGGTTGTGTGGATGTCTGAGAAATGAAATGAAATGAAATGGGATGGGATGGGATGGGAGAGGAGGGAAAGAAGGTTGTTGGCATACGTATGCTAGATACTATTGATGGATAAATTCATGTTTGGGGACTTTGGGAACTAGGTACTAGGTTCTACGAGACAGGGCAAAAGGGAGAGAGAAGAACAGTTGATGTGTGTTTGCCTATCGTCTGCGGGCCACGCTTACCGCGAGAATTTCCTTGGTTGATCCTTTGTGGAATGTACGGTGTAGCAAGGGGAAATAAAGGCAGCCTTTTCCTCAGAACGAGTGATAGTTGAGACAAAATAGCATGCAACAAATAAGTAGGCAAAGGCACCCTTTCGGTTTTCTTTCTTTTCCTCATGTGATCCATGGATTTAGTTCTCCAGCCTAGATAACATCGCGAACTTTGTCTTCCCGCTGGTCTACCAGTTGCACCTTCAGTGTGCCTGCCCTGGACAGCCAACCCCAGCTGCTTATTTTTCCCACAATAGGGGAGGATGGCAGTTGATATGCAGAAGGTACACCTCATCATGAGGAAGAGGCTGTCGTCTGGCACAGAAGAAACCTATCATAAAGGGGAACGAAGCCATTCATCAGTATTAGCCACGAAGAAGGCTGATTGGATGTTTGGTGGGCTTTCAGGAATTTGGGCCAAAGATTCGGACTCCCTAGGTCTAGTCTAGCTAGGTATTGACTTTTTGCTTTTTTCTCTTCAAATCAACCATGTCCATAAAGTCATTGGATCTCCCGTCTCCACCCTTTGCCTCACTATTCCCTTCCATCACTTCCATCACTCCTTTCCTCCTCTTTTCTGTCTCTTGGTTTTCGTTGCCCAAGATCATCTGTCGTGATCCGTAGCTCCACATCGTGGGTGGTTTGACGTGTTAAAGTCTTCTCCATCCGACGGATCGTGCTTTTCACAATACATGGACTCAACACCGTTTTCAATCTTCCTACGCCAGACCGTCGCAAATACCACACGGATTTTCTACCTCTCACCATCTGGCATGGTCTGCGGACAGTCGTTTGCGCGCTCGAAAATCATAACGTGGATGCCCTCGGCCAGCAAAGGTTGAGGCCGCCGATATGTTGGTTGAACACGTACTTGTTCTCTTGTTTTCCTTCCTACCACAGTTGCACAAGGAAATGTTAGTGGACTACTCCCTCTAGCTCTACTGAACTAAATTCAATGGGGCTGGGAAGAGCGGTTCAACTGCATGCAGAATGGAAATTATGTACATACCGCGCTAGAAGGGCCTTCGGAAGCCAAAACTGCGATGTCCTTCTTGAGCCGGCGCCACCACCGGAACGTCTGATTCTCATTTAAATCCTTGATATCTTCGGGGTAAGTAAGGTCCGTCCGCACAACCGCTTTCTCCAACTTTCGACGATGCGTCTTCAACGCCTCGATCAGCTTTGCGCGGCGCTCGCCATCATAGAACAAGCGCTTGAGCTTCTTCTTGCCACTGTAATCGTGATCGGATTCGGCATGCCAAATCCTAAGCCTGAATTTCATCCCGTAAAGTTTCGACATTTGATGGACTAAGCCTTCACCCACATGAACATCCAAACTTTTCAGGTTCCTGAAGCGAGAGAGACACTCAACAGCCCACTGCTCGTTGAGCAGCTCTTCTTGCATCCGGTTGTCCACGTGGCCCACACCAAAAATTATCTGGAAAACAGTGTATTCTGGACGAGCAGGCCAATGCAGGTAGACGTGTCGCGCCTGAGTCTGGAGAAGGTACGAGCTGCCGATGATGTACAGTGCGCTTCTGTTGCGGTCATCCCAGCCGTGGTTGTCAGAATTGGCGTCGATTTCCACGGCCGGCTCGTAGCGGAGCATAATTTGCGTGTGGTCGAAATACTCCGAATAAGATTCCGTTCGGATGCGCTGGCTGATAGCACCAAGCTTGCGGATTGCCGAAAGTTGAGCTTTCAGGTAGTCAACTGTAAGTCTGAACTTGCTATCCTTGTAGCGGAAGTCGACTCGGTACACGTGGTCTTCCTCCGAAACAGTCCAGGCGTGCTTGTAGATTTCAAGCCTGAGCTCAGCAGGAAGGCGTAAAAAGGGGAATACCGAATGGGAGCCCATTCTGTCGGGGGGGGGGGGGGGGGGGGGGGGGGGGAGGGCTTCCAGCTCCAAAGGAGGAAGCTTATGTGATTTGCCTTGAGATTGATGTAGCAAAAGAATGGAAAAGTGATGGAATAACTGACGGGTTGAGAGGCGGGAGATCAGAGTCGTTGCGAAAGGATAGCTTTGTGTTGGACTGGGACGACGAAAAGGTGTTGATTCTGGTGGTAGGAACAGGGAAGAAGGGAAAAAGCAGGGCAGCCTTAATACCCAGGACGGAAGGGCCAGTGAATGGAAGCACAGTGAATGGGCACCAGAGCCCACAATTTGAGGCTTGCGGAAAGAACTTCAGATACACGGCAGGCACGAGCTCGGGGTAAATGGTCAGTCAGCCAGTATGACGTCGACCTTGGATGAAAATACGGTATCCTACAATTTAGAGGTGTTGGTAAGTAACACCTTCCAGAAACCATACAGGAAAGGTAAGAGTCGGTTGAGGTTGGAGATATTTTAGGAAGGTGCACTGGGTCAGCAGGGTGGAATAGCAAACACCTTCGGACACAGGCATGTTCTCCTCCACCCACCTTTTTCCCTTTGCCCTACTGTGATATTCTTTTGAGCCTTGACGAGACTAGCCTTTACAAACCCACTAGAGGCTAGAGACAGAGAGAGAAAAAAGCTGGAATGATGGATCCTGCTATCATGGTTGTCGTGATTAGCATCTGTCGTGAAGGCGGATGACAAGCGAGGGAAACCTAAGCATTCCCTATGCTGGCAATTCTGTTCAGTAACAGCTAATTTCTATACACACACCAGGAGTATCTGGTTGCCTACCCAGATAAACGAACAGTCTTCAGGTCTGCTATCCAGAGTCATCTAGACTCTTGCCGATGATGAAGGTAGTTGGTGCTTCACATACACATACATACACATCACTCCGTGTACTCCATCATCCCCGTGAATGTATATAGAGTAAACAAGAACCTTATCGTCTCTCTGTCTTCCCCGTGCATCCCTTAGAACCGCTCCTCACGGCGCCACACGGGGCACTGATAGCCAAAATGGTTTTGGATGATATGGCATGGAGCGTCTCGATACGTATCCTGTCGAGGCAGAAGATTAGTTAACTAACCATCCACATTGTCTGCGGTGTTGACGTATCAAATATAAAAGACCTGGGAATTTGGTACAAAGATGATCATGGCAAAGTGGAGGAGACATACCTTGGGTAGTGTCAGGAGATGGTTCAAGATATTCCTTGTCAACCGCTCCTGTGAGCGTCCTCGCCTGACCCATCGCGATCGGTGTGCCTTCGTGATAATACTCTTGGCCGTCTTGAAGGTAAGTCGAAGAGTGATCTTCTTCATCGTGGGCCACTCATAAAGCTCAGCCATACAGCAAGACCACATACGCAAATCGTGCCAGTCTTTGTAGGTTTCGACATCGACATGGAGAGTCGTCAGATTCGGTAGCCGCATGACAAAGTAATACGATTCCCAAGGCCAGGGCATGTCAGGCACCTTGAACTCCGGTTTGTACTCTCGAATGCCTCTGTGCTTGTGCCGATCGATGTCATCCACATCTTTATCGAGCATTATGGCCCAGTAGACGTGCCTGGTATACTTGGCGAGAAGAGGATCCCTGATGATCAGGTCGAGACCCTGCTGATACTCGTCCGAATACCAAGCACCGTCTATGTTCGAGTAGGGCTCGTGACGCAAATAGACTTGCGTCCGCCAGAAGAATTCGGAGAGGGCTTCGCTTCGGATGAACCTGCACAGGCTGCCGAGTTTCCGAAGGTGAATTAGCTGATCTTTGAGAAGGTCGTGTTTCAGGGACCCTGGGTCATGGTACGTAGTGAGTGAGAAGGTGTACGGTTCAAGGTCCAGGTCCCACGTCAGCCTGTAGATTCGGAGTCTGAGTTCGACTGGGAGGCTCAAGAAGGAGATCTTGTTTTGATTTGCCATTGTAGAAACCACGTCTGCATCACGGGTTTGAGCAGTGCCTGGGGAAGAAGTTTGGAATGAAGTAATCGTTGATGAGGGCAGCGGCAAGTGGCTTGAGAGCGGTAAGAGGAGGAGAAAGGGAAAAGTAGTTGAAGAGAGGCAGAAGTTGCTTGGCTGTTATTGGAGTGGGTTCGGGCGAGGCGAAAGTTTTTTTTCTTAGTAGCGTAGGCAAGAAGAAAAGAGGAAGAGGAATGAGAAGTTGGCAGAGAGGAGAATAAGTAGTTTCTGCGCAGCGAATGGAAGACTTGTTTTTTTCTTTCTTGTTTTTTTGTCAATACTTTCAAGGTCTTGCTCTGCATTGCAGAGGTCAAGGTATGTACATGCGGCTAGACGTTCCTTCCACTTTCCAGACCAGCAACCTTACAACTTGTCTTCACTTGTGACTGACCCGCCACTTCCGCTGATTTAATCTTAGAAAAATCCCGACAAAGGGAAAAGAAATAAACTGAGGTGAGGGAAGACGAAAAGAATGAATGCTAGACTCAGTAGTTGAGTGAACCGTCAAAATTACCACTCACTATCACTATCACCAAACAAGCAATAGGTATCAGACAGCCCCCCGCCCGATCATGTCCCTCAACTCCGTAACTTTCATGCATAGTTTCCCTGCACAGCAACTGAACTGGACATGGAAATTATCCGAAGAGCATACTATATGTAGCCAAAACAGGGAATCTGTGTCAAAATCTTGAGCACTGGATTGCATGACCGGAGTATGTCTGATATGGTGGCAAACGATCTTAAAATTACGGTTCTTACCGTATAATCTCGCGGAACCCACGAAACACCATACCATTTTTTTTTAAAGAAAAAAGCCACGCAGAGGGCAGGAGTCTACCAGACATATGCTCGGGTGATATGAATCACGATTATTGTAAAGATATATCAGCAAAAGTCTCTTAGGATATACTCCGTCTAGGAGCTGCCTGGGAATTGGGTTCAAGGATATAATACAAGACGCACGAAGTTCAAATCCGGATCCAGTATCTACACTTGCAGATTACCAACCATGTACCAGATTCTTGGAATACCGGCCAATCCAGCCATCATTCATCGAAGCCGTTGTTGTTGTTGAAGGACCGCTGCCTTCTTTTTTTTTTTTTTTTTTTTTTTTTTTTTTTTTTTTTGTGTCTTGTTCCAAAGTTCGTGTTTGGACGATCCAGCTCGTAGGTCCGAATATGTGTGTCCTCCTTCAACACCGCCATCCTGCGCCGATTATCAGGAAGACAGCCGTGCTTGACTTCTTAGACCCTAGGCAAGCGAGGCCACTCCGGGTTAATGGCCCCGAAGTGATTCTTGATGGGTAGGTCCGGCGTATCTTTAAACTCGTCCTTGTAGGAAAAGGTCAGCCATTGCCTACAGATAATTACACAAAAACCGATGTGAGGGAAACATACCTTTGGCAAAGTGAGGAGATGGTTAAGGATGTTTTGCTCCAAGAACTCCTTGGGTCTACCCGACTGCACATAGCGAGAATTCTAGGCCCTGTCAATGTATCCAATCGCACCCTCAAAAAACAGGGAAAGTATGAGTTTCTTAACACGTAGAAAGATCGGGTAAAGCCACGCCGAGTCAGCACACAGGTCAATCCACTCCCTTCTCCAGTTGACTTCGAGGTGGATCGTTCCGAGGTTCTTCAACCTGCGAAGCCAGCTGTTGAGTCCCCCACGACAAGGCCTCAGGGCATTGAGACTGAATCTGATCCTGGGCGGGCTAACAAAGTTGTGATGGTACCTCTACGGGAATAAGACGCCCCGTGCCTCGTCCCTGGTCAGCATGACCGTCCAGCGGGTGTATCTAGCATCCCGAAGTACGGGCTCGCTGATGATAAGGTCCACGGCCCGCTCATAGCCCGTGATGAGATGGCCATCCTCTGGCCAGAACCCGTAGTGCGGTTGGGTACAACGAAATAACGGCTCCACGGCCTCTTCTTTGATCTGGTGGCATATTCTGGCCAGCTTGTTGAGGTTGACCACTTGTTGTTGAAAGTGTTGGAAGGTGATAGCTCCAGTTTAGCTAGTCTCTTGGTTGGCGTTCTCATATAGGGGTAAGTCGAGGTTGTCCTCCAAGACCAAGTTGTAAATTACAAGTTTGATCTCAGCTGGGAGGACGAAGAAGGTAATCTTTCTGTGTTGGTCCATCGTTGAAGGAGTCTACCGGTCGGCAGTCGAAGGTAAAGAACACGGCGAAATGAGAAAGGAAGAGCAGTAAGGAAAGCGTCGAGGATTATGTGTCTGTTACTGAACGGTTGTGTTTGAGTGTCTGTGGGAAGAGGGAGAAAAAAAAAAAAAAAAAAGAAAGAAAAAAGAAACGAGACGGCCGTAGTCTGGAGAGGACAGAAGCCATAAACACTTTTGGAGTTGTGCTCAGGCGTGTTAGAGAACCTCTACTCCAAAATCCCTTCACTCGGGAAATCACCACAAGCATTCACTTAAACAACACCCAGCCTTCACTATCACGAAATACTGTAGGTAGACACAACACATACGGAATCTCATGACCTTAGCGCTCACCCTGTCCTTCACCTTCACGTATCCACATACTCCCACCGGTTGGACGATCTCATAATTCATACCCTCTGGACAAGGTTCTCGAGACCGCGAAGGCAACTAGTGAAGTGCGATGTCTGGTTGATGACGGGGGTACAGATTTATATAGTGAAGACACAACAACGTGAACTTTGCTACGCGCTGATCTATTGTGCAAGGTTGAACTTGAGTAAGACAAGATGGTCAACTAGATTTATTGAGTTGGATAGTGGGGGAAAGCGATGGACACTCTTAATGATGCTGGATATATATAAGGTATCGCCACGAAGAAACATGGAGCCCTCAACCATGATGGTCTTGGTCACTCACGTAACATCAACAAAGCTCCAGCTCGGTCTGGTCCGTGATCTATCAAATCAAGAAGTAGGCGTAGGTAGAAAAGGTAGGCGTTCGATCATCACAAGACTAACCCCGAAGCCCCATCACCACCACCCCGCTGCTGTTGTTCCCACGTCCTCCTGCAAACATCCTTCATCAATCTCTTGGGCGCCATCCGTCCTGTCATTAGCTCAAAGGCCTCGATGGCCATCTCCGCAACGACCTCGAGACCATCGACGACAACCCAGGAAGGATTGACTTGATCTCGGTAGGCGTACATTTGGGCAACTAGGGGCGTGATGAGTGGTTCGTAGGCGAGCTGTGAAGGTTGTCAGTTGGTGTTGATGGAACATCTTGTGCAAGGGAACAGGAAGTGATAAAAGCTGTACATAGTAGGCTGATAAGTAAAGTAAAAGCAATAGCTTACCTCAACAACCACACCTCCCGTTGGACTCCTCAACCACCCCTCCGGCATCACAAAATCCGCCGGCGGCGTCCCGTCCAGACTCGTCGCGGGCACACATGAAATAACCATAGTAGGCAACTGATAACCCTCCGGCCACGGATCCGCCAACCTCTCAATGACCCTGCAAATCTCCAGTGTCGGTAGTTGCGACCCATCCGCACTCGGTTTCGCCATGGCAACCATCCCCTGCTGCCCCTTAGCCCAATTATTGAAGTGATTCGCCACCTCCCTCGCCCTCTCCACCGTTCGGTTATAGATGAAAATGTTTCTACAACCAAGCTGAATAAGTGCATAGATAGCTGCGCGCGCCATGCCGCCCGCACCGATAACCAGCCCCGTGGTCTTGGAGGGTTGAACGTAATTCCTCGGACTAATAGCGCGCCGGAGGCAAGTAAAGATGGAGCTCCAATCGGTGTTATCGCCAAAGAACTCCTGCGCCGCACCGGCCTTGTTGCGAGAGTTGGCATGGTCCAGAATCGCATTGGTCTTGCCTCGAAGCGGCAGCACAACGTTGACGGCGCCAATGGCGGTGGCGTGGTGCGACTTGATCTTGAGCTGGGGCATGATGGCGAGTTTGAAGGGAGCGGTCAAGCTGGCGCCGCCAAAGGTGTCGGACAGGCAAATCTGGGTGAGCCGGTCCAAGGTAGAACAGGTGACGGCCTGGAAGGTGTGCGGCATCCCCGAGAACTCGTAGGCGGCGTTTTGCATTGCGGGGGAAAGAGACCAGGAGACGTTGGAGCCGGTGACGTAGAACTCAAGCGGGTCGAGGAGGAACTGTTGGAACTCGAGGCCATAGGAGTGTGAATAGGTGTTGATAATGGCGAGGAAGTCTCGGTCGGTGTCCATGTCGCGGTGTTTGACGGGGTTGAGAATCTTGCTTTGTAAGGGGGTGCGGATGCCGAGGACGGAGAAGTCGTAGGCAACTAGGGGTGGGCGCGGGTTGGGAATGGTTTGCTCTACCCGCTTCTTGAAGGACTCGAGATATCCAACGGGGCTGTCGCCCGTAGAGAAGCGGGCCATCCGGACCAGGTCGCAGCCGAGAGACTGTGCGCGTCGGTAGTTCTCGAGGTGTTGGTCGTCGTGCCATGGAGGAGCTCCGAAGCCCATGTACCAGTAGTTTCCTATAACTTTGGACCGGCCCTTGTAACGAAGTGCCCGTTGTATGAGAGATTCGTCGCGCTGCAAATCCACGCTCAGATACTCGACGCCCAGTCGTAGACCTAGTTCAAGCAGATCTGAGTCCACCGGGTTCTTCTCCTCTGGCGCCCTGCGTCGTTGTCCTCGGGGGTTTTCTTCCACATGGTAAATGATGGGCAGCCCCAGCTTCCTCCTGAGGAGGGCGACCTGCTTTGATACCACTTCAGCGACATCGCCGGGCCACTGATCGATGATGAACTCAACACAGTCTGCACTGGCCTCGAGCTCTTCCAGTGCCATGTCCAGTTCCTGCAGGTAGGATAGGCGAAGGCGCAAAGTATATGAATAGGATCGGAACTCGGGCGGAATGGCGACAACCGAAAAGGGGCTTTCCAGCCATGCTTTGGTTGCGCCTCTGCCGGTGATTTGATCCAGGAATTTTGTGAAGTCTTCCCGGACATTGAGTAGTTTTGAAGGAACCGTTTGTCGGCAATCCGCTGATGTGGAGGTACCAACGCGATGGGTTGCTGAGTCATCCAAGTTGTAGAACTCAAAGTTGGAGCACTCCCTATGTTTTTCATCCGCCTTGAGAAGAGCCGTGGCATCTGTCGCGTCCAACAAGGCTGCTATTTGCTCTCTTTCCCGGTGGATATAGATGACGGGATTCGTCCTGCAGTACTCGCGCAAGGCGTCTTGGGCCTCCTCGCTGAGACTGCTCATGCCGCACTCGATGATGCACCCGAACCTGTTGCTGTCGAGCATGCGCTTGAAAACTTCGACATCCTGGCGGGAAAAGAGGTCCTTTCCGTGCTGAAGGAGGAACTGGCCGCGGGATATGCCAGTGAGCTTTTCGAAATAGTGGTCCTCGGTGACAAGGCGGCGGCGCAGATGAAGGGCGCCCATGAATCCGAGGGTACGCTTTCCAGCTCCTCGACATCCAACGAGAACGATGGATGCGTTCGGGTCAAATACCCGCTCGTTCCTTGGCCCTAACATGGCTCCTGGCTGTGTATGAGGTGGTGTTGTCTGTTGAAGATGTTGAGGTAGATGTGCTGTTGCCGCTCACATGTATCGCTTGGTTGATATCCCTCGCGATGTGAGATGAGTGGCCTTGTTGAAGGAATTGTTGTCGATGTCAAAGATGTGTCGGCCAACACGGGAGACCAAAGGGTATCTAAGTATCTGGAGGAGCGAGCTGAAGGTCGAAATGTAAATACCCACTCGAACTTTGACCGGGACCGGGTCACGGCGATGTAACGTCGATGTAGCCGATGTGGTCGGAAGGCGTGGTGGTGAGGTCAATATTGTGCACTTATCATCAACCGCCAGAATCGGTGATTGGTGTTTTGGCCATGTTCTGGACGTTCGGCAGATGGAAAGCCGATTGTGACAAACGGGATTTCCATGAGGCCTGAAGCGGGAAAATGTAACTCCCACCAAAGCTTTTTCCGTTGCTAGCCTACTTTTACCCCGTGGAGGAGCGGATGAAGAGAGTCCAGTCCCTGAGACCCTTCCCACTGCAACCACCGTTGCAGGCCAAGCTTCAGTGGGCTTTCCCCGCAATCCCGATTTGGCGTTTGGTGTCTTAACCTCTCCACCTCGGGGCAGCACGCTCCGCCCCTCCAGCTTTTTCCTTCTCCTTCTTGAGCTTCTTCACTTCTTGTTCATCGTCGCCGGTATTTGGGTCTTGGTTCTACGAAGAGGTATGAAGGAATAAAGAATCTAGTTCCAAAGTTACCTATCTAATACTTCGTTTGACTGTCGGTCTGTATCCGTTAGCCCTGACAAGACGGTGCCTTGAATTCCATTACTGACACTGTTTGGGTTGTCAGGATAACGCACTATCATTTCGCGATACCGTCCCGTCTTACAAGGCAGCCCGACTTCATGCCGTGTATGATGACTGACACTCCAATCAGTAGTCATCAACTTCACTTTGGATTTTTTGATGTTCCGCCGTAGCCCTCCATGGTTACAAATGATAATCTTACTCAGCTTACCTTGCCCACATGCTCGATCACCATCGTCAACTCCTCTACTCAGACAGAGCCTCATCGTAGCCAAGCCCGGCGTCGGGGTATAAAGCACGGGGCGTCGGCGTTAGCTCCGTTGTTAGTGGCACAGTAACACTTGGCAACTGAACAGCGCCGAGCCATTAGCGACGCGGCTGCGCTATCAATTTCCTCAAGGAAACTTATGGAGGTGTCATCGTCGTCAATCTCGTCGTCGTCCAAATCTCAAAAATATCTTCACCCGAATTTGCTGCACATGCTTAGTACTCAGTTCCATCGTATCGGTATCTCAGTCTCATCCCATCTCCCCATCTTCCCGTAGTTCCCGCGCGTCTCCCGGCAATTGATTCCATCTGTCTATGGGGTCCCGCCTTGAACACGTTGTCTCACACGCACCATCAGATGGAGGACTTCGGCGCCGCTGAGGAACAGGCTCAACAGCCAAATAACGCCCACGATGAGACTCGACAGTCTCGAACCACGACTCCTTCAGCCCGCACTTCCGCTCATCCATCGCCTCCACATCAGCAACAACCACAAACCGGCCCATTAGTCACCACTCCCGCTTCCGCTCCGGTTTCCGGCCCCTCAACATTAACACCGGGACCTCCGCCCTCCGACACGGGCGCCGACGCCGGCTCCGAACCCGTCAACCCCCGAAAGCGCAAAAAGGCTTCACGAGCGTGAGTTTCTTATTCCATCATAGTCTTACTTTTCCCCAACCGCATGCACTCATCCCATCCAGCTCCCTCCTCTCTGTCCCCAAACCACATACTAACCCAACCCCCCCAGCTGCGACTTCTGCCATGTCAACCATCAACCCTGCGACAACGGCCAGCCCAAATGTTCCGTCTGCACCAAACATAACAAACCCTGTCTGTACCTGCGTCCGACAAAACGTCGCGGCCCTCAAAAGGGTTATCGAACAGCTCTCAACACGTACAAAGAGAGCGCCGCAGCATGGGGAGCTGTACTTGGCGCCATTCCCGGACTGGACGCCCTGATTGAGGGCCATCTGAGGGCGGCCGGCACCCAGGGGAAGCAGATCATTGCGAGTATCAAGGATGCGAATGCGCAGGAGGGATTGATTGCCCGGTGGCAGGGGAGTGGAGTTTTTCGGGCTTTCTTCGGGGCGGTGAGGCCAGGAACGGCGGGCGGTGTTGCGGGAGGGGGCGAAGATGGAGGAAGGGAAGGAAGTAGTGCTCTTACGCAGGATGGGGAGCAGGAGGATGAAGAAATGGGCGGTCTTGGTGTTGGGTCTCCGAGTGTTGCTGCTCAAGGAGTTCTAGGAGGACAAGCACCACCCGCGAAAAGATTCGCACGAGAAACGGAACAAAGGCGACAAGTAGCGAGGGATTTGGCTCAATTACAGCAGCAGCAGCAACAACAGCAGCAACTGCAACTCCAACAACGGCAGTCCGTCGCAGCGGAAGCGGGTCTAGGAGGAGCAGGAGAAGGAGGGAGACGAGCGTCGATATCCCCAACGAAATCACCAGCACCGTCGGTATCGGTACCACCGCCTCCAATACTACAACCAGCGACAACAGCGACGACAACAACAATGACAACAACAACAACAACAACAACACCACCAGCACCCCGTCCCGTCCCTGTCACAAGCACAAGCACAGGGATACCGACTCTCAACACCCTCAACACCATCACCACCACCACCGCCCCACCCAAATTCACAATAAACGACTCCACCCTCTCAGACATCGTAGCCAAAGACGCTGCACAATCGTACGTTTTATATTCCCCCCATCACCTTCCCCCCTTTTCTCTCTTTCTCATGGCCCCCTTTATGTCTCTCATGGTAATTGACTTCCAAAACAAACAACAGCTCCTCACGAGAATCCCAAACCCTCCGTCCCCTTGGGTTCGCCCCCGACGAGACCATCGCCGACTTTTACAGCATGGGAGCGAATCCCGATCCAATCATGTCCGCCATGTCCATCTCCCACCACCATCACCAGTATCACCACCCGCTAGGCGGACCAAATGGCAGCAGCAGCAGCAGTAGCAGCAAGAATTTTAATGGGAATTTCAACGGCGGCGGCAGCGGAAGTGGTGGTGGAAATGGGGTTATCAATGGGAATGGGAATGGGAATGATTACGATGGGACGTACCATGGCGGTATCGGCGGCAGCGGTGGTGGTAGTGGTGCCGCTGCTGGGGATGCTGACGATGACTTTTTATTGTTTGATTCCGAGCAGAGGGCTTATTATGAGCTTTTGATGGGGAGGAGTTTTGGATGATTGTCTCTAAGGGGGCACAAGCATCCATCTTTTTGAGGATAGTATAGTGGTGAGCCATGATTGAAACTCTGGCTAGGTGGGCGTGACTTTGGAAAATCGGCGTCAACAGCGGCAGCAGCGAAAAAGATTTGATATACATACCCATTGGGTTGACGAGCGGAATGGAACGGAGTTGGGGGGAAGAACGACGTGGTTCATGGAGGTACGTTTGACGAGACAAGGTAAAAATGCGCAATCTGCTCTTTGCATCAAGAATGTAAACTGACATTGACTAACAGAGGCAAAGAAAAAAAGATGGAGACGAGGCATGTAAAACAACAATGTGATAGAACAGAAACGCGTTCACACGACACACACACACACATAACGACGACGTATGATACCCGCCAAGTTATCAATGGCAAACTTTACACAAAGAATAAACAGAAATCGACGAACTTCATCAAAACATGCCCGCAATCAAGCCCGACTACTACTGATACTGTTTATTTGTTATTTGGGTATTTATCTTGCAGTGTGTGTCTGTTTGCATGAGGTATCCATCAGCCTCATTCATGATTTCCAACGATCATATGTTCGTTTGCTGACTGAAAGCCAAAAGCCAAAAGCCAAGCATACCCATCAATCATCCTATCCGCCCGCCCGTCCGTCCGTCCGTCCGTCCATCCGCCAATTCCGAAAACCCCACCCCATGATTGCGCCCGCCATGATATGTAGTTATGTTGTAAGGTAGGTGTTGCCACCACCCTTGTTTAAAACAATTGTAAGAAAAGAACACGCCGGCTGATTTGAGCAAAAAAGGTGTGTGTAATGTAAGAGCAAAAACCTCGCCAGGGATGAAGAAGAGAAGGAGGCAGATGCCAAAAAGGGAAGAAGGGAATCATGCAGGGAAAAGCAGTAGAAGACGAAGGGAGGCCTGGGCTGCCTGCCTTGTGGAAATGTTTGACAACATCAAATCAGCTCAAACCCGTCATCCTCTTCAACTCTATCCTCATCCTCCTGCTGCGAGCTTCCCGCAGCAGCACCGCCCCTCAAACCCCTTCTCTTCGCCTTCCGCCCCTTCAACGCCTCTCCATTCGCATCCAGAATCTCGTACTCCTTCTCGACAAACTTCTCCGTCTTGCGGTCATCCGTCTTGACAAAGTTTTCCAAAGTCAAAGGGGTCCGACTGAATCCGGGTGTGGAGTCTTGGTCGAACGAGTAGAGGAAGTTCTCCTCTGCTGCTGTTACTGATGAGAAGAGGTTTTTGGGGAGGAGAGATGGTGATGGGGGGTTTGGGGCGGCGGAGTAGTCCTCGCGGTCATCGTAGCGGATGTCCTTGTGCGCAAAGAGCTTGGGGAAGTTGATGGAGTGGTAGCCAATGTTGTTGGAGCGGCCAGCACCACCGCCGTGGCGGAGCTTGTAGAGGTTGCGGGAGGACTGTTTGGGGTAATCGCAGCTGTTGGGCACAGAGGGGTTAGTTTCTCCAAAAACAGCAAGAGAAAGGTAAGGGAAAGGGTGAAGAAGTGAAACTCACCTAGAATCCCGCACTTTCCTCGCTGGTCGCGACTTGATCAGCTGGTTGGGGTGCCCACTGCCAAGCAGCTCACCCGTCATCCAGTTCTTCTTGACGCCGGGGAGTTCGCGAGTGCCCGAGGCCCACTTTGTAGATGAGTCCTTGCTGCGCTTCCATTCCTTGTGGGAGCTGCGGAGGTCGCGCTCGTACTGGACGGAGGACTCGAGGGAGGTAGCCATGATGATGACGGTTACGGTTGGTGGTGATGATGATGATGATAATAATAATAATTTAGTTGTAGGAGTTATTGTTGGCGGTAGTGTTTGAGGATGTAGAGAGAGGATGGTTCCGGGAAAGGTTGACTAGATGAAGCCAAAGTACTTTAAACTTGACAGCTTTCCAACTAGACAAAGACGGAATGCGGACCCCTTTTGATTCGATCCGTGATGTAATCCTCCAAGGGTATTCGGTCGGTCGGGGGTTAACCTAGGTACCACAGCGGTGTAGGTATGGAGACAAGGGCGTGCGTGACGTGCCGGGGGTGGTTGGCCTCAGGGTCGGTATCGACTAGTTGACTGCCAAGAACCTTGATGGTACTATACTGGGGATCTTTGGACTTTGGGCCCTGTCGATCTGCCAAGTGTACCAATTATGGAAATAGAGTTGTAATCGGCGGGATCTGAGAGAGAGAAGATTCCTAAGGAGTTCGAGATGGATAGATGGAAGTTTTTGTGATGATTGAACTGGTGGGGGGACGGAAGGTGATCGGTGATGGTTGTTCGGTTCAGGTTGAGCTAGTGGAGGGGCTCTTTACTTAGCGTCCTTGTTGTGGTGGTGAAAGAGAATGTGTGTGAGAGAGAGAGAGGGTTGGGAGAAGAAAGAACGGCTTTGTTGCGATGGTTTAAAAGCAACACGGTTGGATCAGGTGCAGGTTGTGAATGACTGAAGAAACGGGCAGTCAAACTAAGGCCTGACTAAGTGTTCTATCTTGAAAACGCTGGCTGAGAAGACAACCTCGCTCAGGATATTGCCGGCGAGTGACTCAAGGAAGCGACTTCCCAGTTGGGAACAGTTGAGGCGTGAGCAGTGATAAGCGATAAGGACGGGGGCCAATAAGCGATGACGCGCTGTTCGATGACGGTAACAAGACTGAAAGGGCCACTTGAACAGAAACAGCCAGTGATAAGGCTATCGATGGTATCCGTACGGTGTTTGTGTTGACTCTTGGGTTGTTGGACTTTGCAAGATGGACGCAAAGCAGGAGGGACAGCGGAAGCCCTTCGTTTTATCCATCAACGAGCCATGACCAACACTACTGCCTGGATTCTTCTGATGGAGGGTAGAATGTACCATCAGCAACACACGGGTCACTGTCAAAAGGACATCGATGCCTTGCTGAGACACGAGATGGTCACCTTTCGCTAGGTTTGGAATCCATCCCAGGGGACCGTTTCTTATCAAGACTCCTTTCGGCATGGAACAAAGTGCCCAGAGTGCATGTGGGAAGTACCCCGGTAGGTACCTCATGACCTGGATGGGACAAGGCCAAGTGACGACAGTGGCAGGAAGCCAGAGACTTCTATCTCGGGTACATAGTAGACTGTCCTGGTTGAGAAGTCAGCACGGCGCGGTCGAGGCACCGAGGCACAGTGCACACCCGCTGCCCATTTTGTGTCCAACCGCCTGTGCTGCTCTGTCCACTGAGGTTGAAGAGTCGGTACACGCCTTTCCTTCGTGTAGTCGGTCTCTCGCTTGATGGTGCTGATGATGACATTGGCCGTTTTGATTACGCCTTGGATCAGCAATGGTCCTTTGAACGGCGACTTTGTTTCACCCTACCTGGAACGTCCATGTTTGTTGGATGCCCGTGTCCGTTGAGTTGGGTCCCGCTCGTCCCGTTTGCGATACACAGATGGACGGGTGTGTTAGGTTTGGATCCAGGTCAGTTGCACTCAGGTCTCAACAGCTGTTACACATGCTTCTCTCCATGTCAACAATGGCATCTTGCTATCTCCTGCCATTCACCTTCAGCAGAAACGGATGGGAAAAGGTTGTTGGAGTCTCCGACTTGCCCCGGATGCGGTGCGGTGCAGCCGGGAGGGGATGTGGGGAAAGCGATCCCGCCAACGACGCTAGAGCAGCGCAGCACGGGGTAACCGATTGCATTGCGGGGACTGTTAGTACGTAGCCCGGCCGGTACATGTACCTCCACATTGAGCAAGATCAACCGATTTGAAGGCATTTTGGGTGCTTAAACATGTTCTCGTGGCTTCTGAATTAATAAACACAAAACGCCAGTTGTAGCCGTCGAAAGGATTCTATGAAGAAGGCCCAGGTTTGTTGTTCACTAAGCTTATCGCTCATCAGCCCCAGGTACCTCTACGGCTCTCTGTCCAGCAAGGTCCTCGCCGGATGCCGAGGATGATGATGCTCCGTCAATCAGGGGCGCATGCGTCTCTTCTGCAGGGTAGCATCCGTCAGCGCGTGCAGTGGAGAATGATAAGCCGACACATTGACAACCACACCGCGATATCGGCGTCCTCTCTGGGCTACTCCTACATAGGTACACAAGTGGTCTTTAGGAGACAGAATGGCACCTAGATTGCAATCATGTTCGAACAAGTGTTCAACAATGGAGACCAGTAATGTTTGTTGATGGACGCCATCATCATCATCATCATCATCCATCTGGACCAGGACACTATCCAAGTTTGGTCAACCCCCCTTTTCCTCTCCCGGGCCAGCCTCACTTCCTGCCACTGCATAACTTCCACCCCAGTCCAAAGATCAAAGAAGGCAGGGATATGCCAAGGCCCACGAGGCGTGGTCTGCTGACCCATCTCCGTCATCTCCATAGCCGCCTTTTGGAATGAAGGAGACGCGATCCAGGTACTTTACCATGGTCGAATAAGAGCAGGTGCTTATACGGCGTGCGCGATTGTTCGGCTCTGTCGCCGTGTTCACCGTAACTCGATCGCCTGCTCAGCTGTTGAGGTTGTTTCTCGCGTCTTGTCGCCTATCCGGGGCGCGATGGGCGTGACGTGACTACTATGCAGTATGGCCCGTACCAAGAGATGAAATCAACCGGTTGAATTCTAAACTCTCAAGACCTCTAATATTCAAATCTGTGATTAATGATGAATATCATCGATGGTCGTGATGATGGAAAATCCGAACGCTCACGAGCCACGCATAGTCCGTGTGCTATAGCCATCACACATATCCTTAAATTCACCGAGGAATCCAAGCACACTACACTAACACCACCGATCCCAAATATGAGTCTGTCTTACTTTCTGGAGTTTTATTTTGTGATACCTTCCACCACATGCCACATTCACAATCGGCCCTCACCATGGCCGACAGCGGAACCATCACCAGTCCGTGTCACCAGTGATGTCACTGGACGTCTTCCCCTATCTTATCTTCGTGCATGGAAGATGGAGCGAGCGATAAGGCAACACCAACGCACGGGCCATTTGGAGGTACAGCCCACCTGTACTGTGTACACACACCGGCAGGCAACTCCTCCAACCGCAATCTAGGTAATCAACATCATCACCACCACCATCGCCATCGCTTCAAATCAACAATCGACGATCAACAAGCACCATCGCACCCACCTGACCAAAACAGGACAACCCAGCCAAACCAAACCACATCAACGCAGAAATGCCCTCAGACAAAGCCGCCTACCTAGCAGCCCATTACCTCTCCACCGACCCGCCCAACAAATCCTCCTCTTTCACCTCCAAAAAACGCAAGCGCAAGAACAAATCAGCAGAAGATGGCCTCATTATAGCCGACGACGACGACACCTCTTGGGCCCAAGCCACAAAACGCGACTCCGACGATGATGATTTCGATGGTCCCGTGCTCGCTGCGGGGGTAGTATCCGCCGATTTTCGCAAAGCCAAAAAATCCGGTTGGAAGACCGTCGGCTCATCGTCAGCCTTCACAAAACAGGCAACAACAAGCACCACAACAAATTCCACAAAGGAGGATATAGACGCCGCGGCGGCCGCCGATGCGATCCTAGCGCAAACAGCTGCCGAAACAGCGGCACTGGCGCGCGAAGCGGGCGGGGATGATGAAGTTCTCGTCGTCGACACCACAACGGGCGCAACGGCCCTCACGCGCTCGCACCAACCGGCCGAAACAGCCACGCAAGCACCCATCATGTCAAACGGGACGCACGCGGGACTACAGTCCGCATCCGCCATTACTGCGCAGTTAAAGGCCCGCCAGGAAGCCGAGCGTCTCGAGTTGGAGAGGATCCGAGCCGAACGCGACCAGCAGCATCCGGAAGACCAGGAGGAGCTGGTGTTGCGCGACGCCACTGGTCGACGAATCGATGCTTCCATGCGACGTGCGGAAGCGCGCAGACAACAAGCCGAAGCTGAACGCAAGGAAGCAGAAAAGAAACGTGCCCTCAAGGGCGAAGTCCAACTCGAGCAAGCGCGGCGGAGGAGGGAAGAACTAGAAGAAGCCAAACTGATGCCTCTTGCCCGTTCCAAAGACGACGAACAACTCAATGCCGAACTTAAGCAGCAGGACAGATGGAATGATCCCATGGCGCAGTTCCTTGCCCCGGAGGAAATCAAAGTAAAGGGAAGGAAAAAAGGAGCAGCAGGGAGGAGACCGACTTATAAAGGACCGGCACCGCCGAATCGGTACGGCATCAAACCGGGCTATAGGTGGGATGGGGTGGACAGGAGTAATGGGTTTGAAGCAGAACGGTTCAAGGCGATTAATCGGCGGGAGAGGAACAAAGGCTTGGAGTATGCTTGGCAGATGGATGAGTAGTTTCCCCATCCAACATGGGATTGCTCTAGAAGGGTTACGGGGATGGTGAATGGTTAATGATGAACGACGGAAAAAAAAAAGTTTGGGTTAGTTACCTTGTTTGGTGTTCGGCGTCAAAATTAAATTTTCTATGGGTTGTTCAAAATATGAACAAGAACAGGGCTGGTCGTCTTACAGGGTAATTCAGAGGCTGGCGAAGAAGTTCAGGGTGGCACAAGCCGAAATTAATGTCAAGTGACTAGGGCAGATTATTCTTCATCACTAGTCAAAGAAACAACATTGAAGGAGCAAGAACAATATCTTCACCAAGCACCGCAAGATGCATGACATGGCTTCAAATGAGGTCTGTTGCTAGGTACTATCTGTCTAATCGACAAGTGTTGGCCTAAATATCTTCATCTCCGCCATGTTTCAGGAGTAATGTCATAAAGTAGTGTTATTGCGATATCGATCGTGCAAAATTCAACCGCTTATACCAAAGCCTCTTCAAAACAACTTCAACTTTTTGGAACCACATAGCTCGGCGATCGGTGTAATATTTTGATGCGAATCAGCCCGCGGATTCAAATTCGAATCGGCCGTTTCGGTTCAGGTTTGTCGTTAACCATAGTTTCCAGCTTGGATGACAGGCATTCTGCACTTGTGTCGCCTGTCTGTCTTCGGAGGGGTAGCATAACCACTTCCCCTCCTTCCCGAGCCGGCTTATCACTTCCAGCCCGATGTTCTGTTCCATTCCTAGTTACAGTCCCCCGTTCCATCATGAACCGCCGCCGCCGGTGCTTCCTCATCAAGAGCCTAGGGCACGCAGCTGCCGCTTTACGACTGAGGGCTAGCAGCACCACTTCCTCCACCTT